ACAGTCTAGGCTTTGGAGACGCATCAGCCAAGATCCATGTTCTCAAGGAGCCTGTAGTTTGGAAGAGGAAGCATATGTGAAAACAGTTTAGTGTAGAAAGTGCTAGAGTGCTCAAGGTGCTGATCTAGAAAGATCCCACAGCCTATGAAGAGAGGGAAGAAGGAAAGAGTGATGAGTTCTATTTGGAGGGAGCAGAAAAGGCTTCTGTGTTTGTCAGTACTCTTTGAGTTGGAAGTGACAGAAACACCACTCACGCTAGCATAAGCAAAAGGGAGATTTATTAGTGTGAATAATTTAGGAAGCTCAGGGATGGTTCTGGCTTCATGCATAACTGGATCTGGGGCTCAAGCAATGTTGTTGGGATCCTTCTTTCTCTGTCTTTCAGCCCTGCTTTTCTATGCATGTTGACTTTTCTCCGAAATCGATGCATTTTTTTCTGAGTGACTTGGGAGAATTGCCACTCAGATGTATATCATCCCAGCTTACACTCAGTGGAAAGGGAGATTTCCTCTCCCAGTGTTCATGTGTCTTTTTCCCCAGGAGTGTCTCTTACTGGCCCTGCTTGGGTCATTTTGCCACCCCTGAAACCAATCTATTGCAGTAAGATAAGGTGATATGATTGGCCTAACTTGTATACCATGCAAGTCCTGGTGGCAGGGATGAGCTGGGCTATAGGTGACTGACAATGGCTGGCATTCCCATAATGCCATTGGCAGTGAGAGTAGGGGGGGGGTCTCCAAAAGAAGGAAGGCTGGGCAGATGATCAGTCTGGCTTCATTGATATTTAAACTGTGATGTCCAAGAAGAAGAATTTTTTTGTCAGATGAAGCAGTGAGGAAAATCCATTTAAGTGAGAGGAAGTAGTGAGAGAAAAACCAGGAAGGCAAGCACCAGCCTAGTAGATGGGGAAACTACAAGTGGTCAGTATAGGTTAAAGGATGCGGTTGAGGGGGTCATGGCTTGAGATGAAGCTGTGAGCTAGAGAGAGGCCTCACTGGCTAGGCTAAGGGACTTGCTCTTTTCACTGTAGGCAGTGGGAGACATTCTGGGATTTTAGGCCAAGGTTGGTGATAGTCAGATCTCCATTTTAGAATATCACCAAGACAGTGATGGTGAGGGTGACTTGCTCAGAGCCAAGACCCAGAAGCAGGGAGACTGTTGAGGAAACCACTGCAGTAATCCATTTGGAAATAAGGTATAAGCAGACAAATGCTGCAGAGCACTAGAGGTAGTAATGTAGAGTAGTGTGTATGAGGAGGCGGGGAGATAAAGGAGAGAGTATTGAGGTGGTAAATAATAAAGAGTATCATGGGGAAGTAGAACAGGTGGAAAATGACAAGCAGAATCAAAGGATTTGATCTTTCAAGAAGGCGAAATACCTGGGACAACTAAAATCTTGAGTGGTCATCGCTGAGATGAGAAATACAGAAGGAACAGATGTGAGAGGAGGGGAGGGGGATGGCTGAGATGACGTCTACAGGGTTCAGTTTGAGAGACGGGCTATGAATGGTTGGAAGTTGGATGTGGGGGTCTGCAGCTCAAAGGAGAAATCGAGGCTGAAATACAGATCTGTGAGTCATCGCTTATGTAGGTGGTATCGTTGATGAGAATAAAGGAAATCGTGTAAGCTAAATGTCTGGAATGAGAAGGGGGTCCAAGGATCAGTGGCTTTGCCTTGAAGAAAGGAAGGAGCAGTCTGGGAAGCAGGAGTCTAGCCAGGTGAGGAGCAGAGCTCAGGCTTTACAGTCCTACCGCGGCTTGCCATACTTTGACTCATATCTAATTCTCTACAGAGGATGATTGCACATTTTACCTCTTATCTGGCCAAGAGTGACTTCAGGACCTAACGCCATCTCTGTGGAAAGGGGCTCAACTAATCAAGTAATTCTGTCTGATGGGGCCAAGTTCAGGGTCCTCCTTGACGGAACACAGGTGTGACCATGCTGATGTTGATGCCTGGTGGCATGTGTTAACAACTGGCCCTTTTCAAGCTTTAACCCAATAAGGAGTTTCCTCAGGGAAAATACAAATACAACACAAATGGGAAAGTACTATTTTCCCCACTATTGCCTGTTCCTACATGAGCATTCTTGTCTGTGTGGCTCAAAGCCAAGACACCACCTTGCCTCACCCCTAGACCCTGTTAGTCCTCATCAATTCTGGTTGTTATATTTGTCCTCTTCTTTCTATTCTTATTGAAAAAACCTAAGCTGGGGTGAGCTTGTTAGTCCATCCATCCCCACCACATCCTAGGGTGAATGTAGCATCCTCCTAAGACACTTAATGATCTTTTTATCCACAGGTCAGCAAACTATGACCATGGGCTAAACCTGGCCCACCAGCTGTGGTTGTAAATAAAGTTTTATTAGAACACAGCCTACACATTCATTTATATATTGCTTAAGGCTGTTTTGCACTGCAATGGCGGCATTGAGTAGTTACAATAAAGGCTGTATTTCCCACAAAACCTAAAATGTTTACTATTTGGCTTTTTAAAGGAAAAGTATCCCAACGCCTATTAATCCATCCTACACACCAGTGCCAGATTAATGTTCCTGATGTGCCATTTTACTGTCACTCTCTCGCTGAGAACCTTGCAATGACATTGCATTGTCTGTACAATGAAACCCCAGCTTCCTGGCCTGACACCCAAAGCCCTCAGTAATCTAGTTCTAGACAGTCTCTTGAATCATTGGCCTCTATTCCCAAAGGCAAGCCCTTCCCCCCAAGTTATATTTTCCTCCTCATTGTCCCTGGAATATGAAGTACATACAGCCCTTGCTCACACAGTTCCCTTTGCCTGGAATGCACTGCCCATTAATCTGTATCTACCGAATTCCTACCCATTCTTTTTTTTTTTTTTTTAAGATTTTATTTATTTGTTTTTAGAGAGGGGAAGAGAAGGAAAAAGAAAGGGAGAGAAACATCAATGTGTGGTTACATTTTGTAAATATTCTCTGGCCTCACTTTGGCAAGGAGGTTATGTCCCTGACTTGGATATTATGTCCCAGAAATATTATAAGATATTTCTTAAGGTCTGCGCATGGCACAGACCTTGGTTATAACACAAATCATTATTATGTTTATTTGAATAACAGTGGTGTGAGCACATCCACAGAAACATAGCAATGACCTAAAGTAAAAGCTTCTGTTAACACAAAGGACAGCAGCCAGCCTTGTACATTATTGTCTCCTCCAGGATTTGGCTGTTGTATTGTAACATGCCGTTATGTCTGGTCTAACAAGTTTCTCCCTGCATATGTGAGTAAAGCAAATAATTCAGTGCAGTAAATGTCTCAGTAAACCCCACCCTGTGTACTTTGAAAGGAACATATTGAACAAGTAAGCTCTCATAAGGGAAAGCCTTTCTATTCTTAAATTAATCACAGTCATATGATGTTTGTTTTTATAAGTACTTTTTTGTTTTTCAATTACAGTTGACATACAGTGTTGTATTTGTTTCAGGTGTACAACAGAATGATTAGACCTTTACATAACTTACGAAGTGTTCACTCTGATAAGTCTAGTACCTGTCTGACACCATACATAGTTATGACAGTATTATTGACTATATTTCCTATGCTGTACTTTACCTGACTGTTTTCATAACTAGCAATTTGTGCATCTTAATCCTGTTCCCTTTTCCACCCACTATTCCCAACCTCCCTCCCATCTGGCAACCAACAAAATGTTCTCTGTATCTGTTTATTCCTGTTTCGTTTGTTCATTTATTTTGTTTTTCAGATTCTGCGTATAAGTAAGATCACATGTTATTTGTCTCTCTCTGTCTGACTTACTTTACTTAGCATAATTATCTTCTAGGTCCATCCATGTTATCGCAAATGGCAGGATTTCATTCCTTTTTATGGTTGAGTAATATTCCACTGTATATAGGTACTACTATCTCTTCTTTATCCATTTGTCTATCAGTGGATACTTAGGTTGCTTCAATATCATGGCTGTTGTAAATTATGCTGCAATGAACATAGGAATGCATATGTCTTTTTGAATTAGTGTTTTGGGTTTCTTTGGATAAATACCCAGTTTATTATTTGTGTTTGCAAAATACAGAGAAGTATGAAGTTTGCACTTGGGTAGAAAGGCTATGCTGTCCATACAAGGGAGATTCATCCCTTTATAACCAATTCCTAGGCATTACTTAGAAATAGTATGTGGCAATAAGAATGACAGCAAGTAACATTTATTGAGTGTTTACTGTGTGCCAGGCATTGTTCTCGGTCTTTTATATGCATTATGTCATTTAACACATGCCCAACTATATGGTTTAGGTATAATTATTGTCTCCTCTTTATGGAAGAGAAGACTTAGAGCCAAGAGGTAAAAGAGCTTGCCAGAGGTCACATGAGTAGCAAATGGTAGAGCTGGAATTTGGATGCAGGCGGACCAACACCAGTCTTCATATTTAATAGAACCTCATTGGGCCCCACCCATGTGAAATGCACCCCCTCACACAAGACTAGTGGAAGAAAGATCACCTGTCTAGTTTGCGTCATTTGGTATGTCCAACGGAATGTTTGTCCTACCAAATGTGAAATTACGTTGGATTGTTTGTGTATATGATTTCGATAAAAGAAATCTACCCTAGAATTCCCACTGTTTCATTCTATCATAGTTATCAGTTTATAACAGCCTGTGTGTTTTCGATTGAGACATCCTTATTCTTTGTCTCCAAATTAACACTGCACAGAACATAACTCTGTGTGTGTGTATATGTGTAAACTGCCTTTTCTTCTGGGTTAAATTGTTGCAGCCTGGCTGAGGGAGGAGGATTTCTCCCACTCACCGAGCCCACAGCAGACATGTTAGGAGAATGCTGCTGCTTGCAACAGACCCAGAGACGGAAGGGCAGGTGACACTGCGTGTGAGCCCAGCTTATCTGGAAGTGTCTCTACAGATGTGTGCCACTGCTGCTTCCTGCCTTCAAATTCCTGGAGCCAACGCCCACCCTCTCTTACAGCCTCTCTCTCTTTATTTTCAAGGAAAAAAGAAAGAGGCAGACTGAAATAGAAGGCAAGCGGCAAGAGCTTGACGAGCAGATACTTCTGCTGCAGCATTGCAAGGTAAGCGGCCGATCCACGCGCCCCTTCCATGATTAGACACGCGGCTCCCCCTGCGGAGAGCCCGGCCGAGCCTGCCCTGGCGTGAAGGCGCTGCCGCCGCCTGAACTGGCTCGTTTTCATTCAGCCGGGAAACCGTCCCCGGGCTCTCCTTGTGAATTTCTCACATTCAGAGCATCGTTACAGCATTCCAGTTTCTGCAAAAGCCTGAGGAGATTATAGTGTGTGTGCGGCCAGGCTTGGGGGGCTGGGGTGCATGCGAAATGTGCAGGTTATTTATAGGAATTGGACGAGAATTTCCACATGGTGGGTGAGGAAGTGTTCTGGGGCTGTGTCTCCAGGGCACAGGTGCTGCGCGTGTTTGTTCTGAGGTTCCCATTGAAATATTTAACGTGATGCTCTTTCTTACCATTAAAAATAGTAGTAATCTGCCTTCTTGCTGTGGAGGAAAGAGAGGTCACAGCAGCATGCCGAGGAGCCCTGTGAATTTCCGATTATTCATGTGATTTATTTCTACTTGAACAATTTTGAAAGTGTTCTATTACAAAGCAGTTGGTCAAAAGACAGCATTTAAATGATTTGCCTTGGATGAGTCTCCATTGCACCATTAAAGAGTACATTGGGGGTGGGGAGGGAGCCCAAGCTGTTTATTTATTTATTTTTCTTGAAAACATCAGGCCCGTAAGCACCGCAATTGATTACAGCCCAGGAGAAAGCTCTGTCACTGTCACAGGGCGCCCCTGGCTGCAGAACGTTGCTCTCTGCAGGCTCGGGGATAATGTGAGCGCATTCCAGGGCCCAGCCAGGAGCCGCAGCCGGCCTTCCAGATTTTTGAGGCAAACCTGCTCCCCTTCCCGCGGCAGTGACATGGCACGTGCGTGCGGAACTGCAAAGCTCAGAGGGCTGGTTGGGGAGGCGGGACTGACTTGCCAGGATGGTGCCAGCTCGAGGTTCTTTGAATTTTTTTAAACAAGGGGCACCTGTGTAGTGGCATTTCCCATTCTTTTCTGGAAGACGGGGTGGTGCTAAATGAGTCCTCAAAATGTACATCATGAGGCAAGCGAGCTGCTGATTTCAAAGAGGGACGTGACCTAAATCTGCTTAGCCTATTTACCAGTTGCCATTAACTTCAGCCAGAGAAACGTGTTTCAAGAGCAGAACAGCATGATACTTTCTTTCTGCTCATCATGTAAATCCATTTACAGACCTTTCTTTGTAGGAGCTTGCAACATGCCCTGTATGCTGCTGTTCCTTCCTTAGAACATTCCTGCAGGAGGATTGAGAGCTTAAGTTAGTATATTCTCCTCACAGAGACAGGGGCTGAGAAACAGTAGGACCAAGTGAATCGTTCAAGGTCAGTCCGGACATAGCTGCGTCTCTGGCTCACAGTACAGTCAGCTCACTCCTTACAAAAGAGCACAATGTACTCAAACCTCAGTGAATTCTTGGTTAAAGGTGAACTTGTTAATAAGGAAACTGAAAGAGGAGAGGCTGGTTTTCACTAGGCAGCCTCGCACCTTTTTGAGGTCAGTGTGATTCTTTGCCTTTGCATTCCTTGAATGAAAAGTCAGGCAGTAGCCTCTGTGAGAAGATCAAGTTTCTTTTGTCCAACTTCCCATCATTCTTGGTGCCAAATAAGATACCAATGACTCATTCATTACTAATGTCCAAAACAGTGTTACAACATTCTGTTCATATTCCAGCCATTCATTTTTCATCCATCTCCTCATCCCCTCCTGCCCCCCTCCCTGTACCCATGTATCCATCCATCCATCCATCCATCCATCCAATCAACAGAAACAACAGTAAAAATGACTTAATATTACATGGAGAAGCAGTGAGATTCCTTCAAGGATTTGGAAACAAGGGAATCAGATAGTTCTTAATGGTTATCCAGGTAAAGTTCTCATTTTCTCTGGCTATCGAAGGAAACACCCAGTACTTTACCCAGGTAACCTTGCCATAATGGGGGGCGGGGTGTGGAGAAAGGACTGGAAGTGATGGTAATTTAATAAGTGGGGACCAGTGTGTTGTCATTTTCTCTCTCTGGGGAAGACCTGTGCAGGCAGAACAAGGGAGGATCGCTAGGCTTGAACGATGAAAAAGGAAAGCTCAGAGATCCCAAAGGTGGTTTACCTGCTACTACCCTGGAGAGAGACCCCCAACTCCAGGAGGTACCAGATTTTTTTACACTGCTGAGGGGTCTGTGGTTTGGCGAGGAGAGTCATTTGGCCTCCCCCTGACCCAGGTGGATCTTCTCTTACAACTCTTCCTCTCTTTTTTCTGACTCCAACCTCCCCCAAATAATTGCGTTATTTTAATATAAGGAAGACGGTGCTTGACTGACAGAGAGATGAGGCACCAGAAAGGAATATGTCCTACTTCAAGTCAGTTCAATGTTGACTGAACTCGAATAGTGTGAGTCACCTTCCCTGTTATCATTTAGTTTCGAACTTGGCAGCCTCATTCCTAGACGGTAGTAAATTCATTGAGGTTATTGCTGCTCTGTGAGCCTCTCTGCGGGGACTCGGCCAGCTTGGTCTTGGCAGCAGGAGGCCTTGTGCTCCCCTTGTCCACACTCAACAATTGTCTGTGTGTGTGTGTGTGTGTGTGTGTGTCTAATATGGGCTTGATACTTGAAATACATCCCCTCATTAACAAGTACAAAGTAGATATTACTCTCCCTGCCTCCCGGGTAAGGAAGCAAATTTGTGAGGTCAGGTAACTTGCCCCAGAACTTAGGGGACTAAGTGTGGGTGCCCACGTCGAACCCCAGGGCTGTCTGCCTCTGTAATCTTACTTTTACCCAGACACTGTTTTTTTCCCAGTGAATCATTTCCTTTTGAATAATTTGTCTAGATGCCGATTATCATCATCACATGCATTTACTGTCATTACCATCATGTCTCTTTATTCTAAGTACATGTGGACTCCAGGAGAGTTAGGCCACGTGGCAACATACCACAATAATTATTGGTAATTCCTTGAAGTAGAAAATACTAGGAAATACGTCAGTAATTAGTATTTTGCTTTCACCAGGTTACGAAATCGGGATGTTTCCTAAGAAAGAAATATTCTCAGTGCAAAGTTAAATTAAATGGAAAAGCAATATAATAGATTTCATATTTATTAAGTTATGTCTCATGATCAGATAGTCTATGGACACTAATTCTTATGCAATGAGATATGGATTACTTAGACGAATTCACTGACCTCTTGTCAAAACAAATAAATAGAATGTAAGACAATAGTTTTGCAACTTGTATGTTTGGTTAATATACTTGCTAATTATGTAGTATTTAGGGCTATACAGTGAGTAACTCCACAAAATAGAATATCATTACTTTACACTCGTTCATGGACAATGAACAAATGCTGTAATGCAATGAAGGAGCAAAGCGTGAAATGCTGAAATATTAGCTGCTACGCCCCAGTGATTAGGAAACCTCCAGGTCCTTGGAAGTCCTGGACAAATTAAACTCAGATTTCTTTTTACAAGATCCTTAGCTGTATTTAGTATCTAAAATGTGTGATATAAGAATTTCGAGGAAATGCTCACCTATGGGACCAGTAAACAATTTTAATAGTTGTATTATTTTTTGCTGATTTTAAAAGGAACGTATAATCATTGCAAAAGCGAGACTTAAGAGTACAGGAAAATATAAAGAAAAAATATCAACTGTATACTCACCACCTAAATATACCCTACACAGATACATCATTTTATGCTTTTTCCCCCACTATATTTTTATAGATTAAAGTATATAATTCTTGTTCACAAGCCTCATCAGCCTGTGAGTAAAATGAAATTATATTAACATTCGTATTGACCTAGACCTATTTTTTTCCATTTTTATATATGTGCTCTTAAATTCTCATACAAAACCTTAAATTCTTATGAAGTCCTGTCTAACATTCTTTTCATATTATGATTCCTGGTTTTGGTGTTATCCTTGGAAAGAATATCTCCATTTCAGACACTTAACTATGCTGTTTCTTATCCTTCAATAGTTTTAGTCCAGCTAGAATTTATTTTCCTGTAAGGTATGAGGTGGGAATAACTTTACTTTTTACTGATGGTGAGCCAGTTGTCTCAACATGATTTATTAATTCATTCATTCCTTCCCTCACTGGTTTAAAAGTCTTCCTGATTTCAGACATATTTCTCAGGTATCCTCGAGTCCACCCTTTGTGTATTCTTTCTAGTCCATTAATCTGCCGTCCCTGTGCCAATACGAGCCTCACTTAATCCCTCTAGGTTTTTAATATAATATCTCATAAGGCAAGAACTGTTCTTCTTTTGAAAAATTGTCTTGGCTTTTTACTCCATGGAAACAATTTTTATTGTTTTTATTATGTGGCTTGTGATAATGTGAGTTTAAAAAAATAAATCAACTATTGTGTTCTGCGAGAACAGACTGAATGTAATATCCCCTTTGCCTCGCGGTTGAATTGCCAGAGATTTGTCTGGTTTATTGGTCAGTTCAAGGTCCCAGCACAGTCCATATTGCTGCATGAATTCTTGTGGGGCTGGCACATTTATAAAGGTTTGTGTGACAGAATCAGCACTGTCAGAATCAAACCGCTAATACCAGCCCTTCCATACATAAGCTGCCTTTGAATTATTTATTCATGAGCCGGGAACCCTGACCAGAGTTTTTCTCTAATCCAAGCTATGAAGATTGTCATTCTATTTTTAATACCACCGCCTTTTCTCTCAAGAAGACTGACTGAAAACAAAAAACCAAAGACTGAATTGTGACCCTAGGAAAAATATTTATTGTCAATCCACCAAGGTTATTTGCTGAATAGCCTGAAGGTATCCAGACACTTGCTGTAAAGATATTACTGTGTAGCTCGCTATTATGAACCTTTAGCGCTAATTTTAGAGTTTTCTTGGTTATTAGTATGTGCGAAAGGCCCGTTTCAAATTTTAAAATAGGGAACAGACAGTCAAGGTACAGAGCGTAAGGGGACTCCGAGTCTCATCCTTTTTTCTATCA